GAGGCGGCGGGACCTCTCTTCTCCCTTCTTCTACTCTCTGTGTAGGCACTCCTGCCGACGCCGTCTGCTCAGAGCTTTAACACTGTCACCCCTGTCATTTTGCTCCTCCTCATAGTCCTCTTCTAATTATCTCAGCATTCTATTTATACAACAACTACGACCATTAAAACACTGCAATCTACCCGATCCTTACATTCCCAGCCCATTAGTACCACACCCCTAAACTTTCGACCGATAGTACGACACGTTCTATGGTCTTTTGAAATCAAACCGCAACCATTACAATAATGCGATCTAAACCATAATGAGCGTTAGCATGCTAACGCAAGTTAGCAGGCAGTCCAGCGAGCTGGCCCGACCTGCACGCATGCGCGAGTCACATGGTCATGCGACCTCCAAGATCCTGTACAATGTCTCTTGCATGTCATTGCTGTTTTCGACTTTCGAGCATGCAACTTGCGGAACATGCGTTCCCAAACAATTTCCTCCACAATTGTGCTCGCCCCGGTGTATCTTGCTAAGCTCAATGTTAAAAGTGCATTCTGCCGAATTCCCGTCCGCCCGGAGGATTGGTCCTTGTCGATCCGCTGGCAGGATCAATACTTTTATGAGAGTGCCCTGCCCTTCAGACTGTATTACGCTCCAGTCCAGCTATATGGAACTCTGTCGCATCCGCCAGTGAATGGATTATGTGCTAGCAGTTCGCACTCACACGCCTATTGCATTACGGGGAATACCTCAACTAACGTTACTTCCTCAGTGCATGCTCTGGACTTGTGTTAGCTTGCCAGCAATTCGCTATTCTGCTCCGAGAATTTACATACTTCGATGTTTCTCTGGCCCCAGCAAAAGTGGAGGGTCCAGCTCAAGTCCTGACGTTATTGGCATCATCCTATTACGGGGAGTGCCTCGACTAACGTTTCTGTCTCCATGCCTGCTCTGAACTTGTGTTAGCTCGCCAGCAACTCGCTACTCGGCGCCGCGCGTTTACATACCTCGGTGTTTCTCTGGCGTCAGTAAAAGTGCTTCCTCAATGCATGCTCTGGACCTGTGTTAGCTCGCCAGCAACTCGCTACTCGGCGCCGCGCATTTACATACCTCGGTGTTTTCTCTGGCGTCAGCAAAAGTGGAGGGTCCAGCCCACGTCCTGATGTTTATCGGCGTCATCCTGGACACCCGCCGCGCTAACATCAGTATGCCTATGGACGAACTTGCCGAGCTTCGTGATCTCCTTCGGGCCACTCTTCACACAGCTTCAACTACCCAATGTCAACTCGAGTCTCTTCTGGGAAAGCTCCCGTTTGCTACAAGAGTGATAGCCCCTGGATGCAAATTGCAGATTGTGGTCACTTGCCAACTGGTACCGGCAGCCGTGTTACCTGATCAAGCTCTCCAAAGAGTGCCTCAAAGATCTTCGCTGATGGCCTGAGCTCCTGGATTAGCGGAACGGCCGGTCCTTCTTCCTATACCCTAAATGGACGCCGTCCCCCGACTTGCTGGTATTCACTGATGCAAGTGGTGCACTTGGCCGGTGCTCGTACAATTGCGACCGGGGATAGGGCGATGGACAGTCAATCAAGCAGAGCAGCAATCGCAAAGGGTTGTTTGCAATTGTGGCAGCCCGCAGCACCTGGGAAAACTAGCGGCATCAGCTGGGAATGCCAATCAATGGGCATTTACAGCAACTGCGAGGATATTGCTCATCAGTTGTGGCTTTGGCCTGGCGTTGTACACCGGCCACTCGTTTCGAATCAGCTGCGGGACTCGATATTCAGAGAGGCGGGAAGGTGGAAAGCGATGTCTGCCCGAGTAACATTCGGACGCCACCTGCAGCCAAAGTATGGGTGGCTGCGGCAATGGCCTCAGCCCATGATATCAAGTTCTGACAGTCTTTACCTAGCTTGCACCGCTTACAGATTGCACGGGTAGCTGCACTTTGTGATCCGCTCCGGGAGTGCCGATTTATGGAATATATGCTCTCAACTGGTTATGCATACCAATATATTTAGCATTTGGAGGCTCTACTCAGAGTCATTGGTGGCTCCATGCAGTCAGTGGCGGCTCCATGCGGAGTCATTGGCGGCTCCATGCGGAGTCAATTTGGGGCTCCATGCGGGGTCATTCGGCGGCTCCATGCGGGGTCATTCGGCGGCTCCATGCAGAGTCATTCGGCGGCTCCATGCGAAGTCATTCGGTGGCTCCATGCGGAGTCATTTGCCGGCTCCAAGCAGAGTCATTTGTCGGCTCAGCTGCGAGCCATCTAGTGGCTCCAAGCAGAGCCATCATACCAGTTGCTCGAATCGGCACTCCCAGCTTAATCCAAAACTCGGTTGCTCTGTTGTGAGGTGGGGGGGGGGGGTGCTAACCTAGGAATGGGTTTGCTCCCCACACTGGAGCTAGCGCTATTCCGTCGACTTGACACTTGACGGACTCACGACTGCCATCCAGAGTCGCCACCACTATTTCCAAACCATACGGCTAATTATTTTAGTTAGCTATCCACATACCGGTACAGTAAAACCTGTGACTACCGACCACCCCTTGGTGCCAGCAAAAGCGGTCTTTAGTAGCAGGTGGTCTTTAGTTAGAGGTTTGCACCGCGTGACCATATGTGGATCCCATTATATGATATGTATGTCAAAATGCAGCTAATACGATTCCCCAGGACTTGCGCAATGTCAGAAAGACGGAGAGATGGAGAGAGAGAGAGAGAGAGAGAGAGAGAGAGAGAGAGAGAGAGAGAGAAGATTAATTTTTTGCAGACTTCAAATTCAGCTGCTACTTCTGAAGCCAGGAGTCAAACGTTCCCTGGGGAAGTTTCGTTTCGCGCTGGGCTTCAAATTTGTTCATGCGATCAATCATACCGACTGTCCTTGTTGTGACTTCTGGATTGCTTGAACGCGATCCTTCAGCATCAGGACCTTGTGGTGCTGCTTTGTTTCTGGATTCCTTGATGCCATCGTCAATCCGTCTGTATGACTGGTGTGACAGAGCCGCCCAGTCTTCGTTTCTCCTCCGAGTAGTAACATCGATCAGAGAGCGCTTTCGATGCGCTCTCCAAGACGTTTCCTATCATGTTTTTTCTTGACAGCGCTTGAAATTTTGACAGGTGTAGTGCAGTCCACACCGACTCCACAGCCAAAATTACCTGCATTCATTTGTTCAGCTGTAGTATCGAAAGATTTTTTTCAGGACCATGGAAAATCAGTAAAATTTCAAGAAGGAGCTTCGAGCAACATTTGATTTCCTACATCGCGGTCGCTAGTTACGGGTCAAAAATTGTGTTTGGGACAGGAAAAGGCGGTCGCTGGTCGCGTTCAGAAGGTAGTCGCTAGTCACAGTGCATTTTGAATGTGAGACCTTCCGTGCCTGGCGAAGTGGTTGGTAGTACCAGGCTGGTCGCTAGTGACAGTGGTCTTTAGTTACAGGTTTTACTGTATATCCCTTACCGAAATTGTATTCTTGAACGCAATATTCTTCTTTCTTTTTCTTCTACTCCGTTCCATCAGCACTCGGCCGATGGCAGGAGATTGGTACCCACTGGGCTAGCATGCAGCAGCCAAAGCTGGGGCCTTTTCTTACTCCGTCAAACCCACTTCTTAAAACGAAACTGACGTGCATATTCACATTGCATGTTGTGAATGTCCCCATATTTGCCCCGACATCTTAGCTCGTACAGCGCTCCAGATACATCTATGCTACGGTGCGCACCGCATACTCGAATTACGGTACGGGACACATACGGGATACTGCACCAACCATTGCATGCCACGTGAACCACCCTACCAGACACCGTGACACGCACCGAATTACAGCGGTGTGGATACTGGCTAGCGCCAGATGCTACTAAAGTACAACTGAATAGCGTCTTTTGCATAGCTACGGGAATAATCTCATATCCCAAGTATTGCAGCTCTGCTAATAGAATAATTCAGGTTACTCCCACTCCATTTCTCTAGTGCTTATTTTTCTGAAAAAATATCATCTTTGGCACCAGAATGCTGCCACCAAGAGTACATTAACCAGAGTGTGCAGCCCAAAGAGAATCATCCCACGGCAAAGTTTATTGTTTAGGGCATAGACTCGCAGTAACAGGCTCACCTTTGCTGCATCTCACACCGCTTCACACGGTCATCTACTCTATCACCATGGTAATTTCTGTTGCACATTGCTGCTTGTTTAACAAAAACGTAGAAAACACACCGAATTTCCAGGTAATTACCATGGTGATACGGTACTTTAGCTTGAACCTATTGTATGACGGGTTTTCTATGATTGATAATGACCCAGAGAGAAACTAAACCGGTATCGAATTCCAGTCAGCGACGCAATTCTTCTGAGGTGTAAAGTGACTTCAGGAATATGTTGCAGAAAACTGCGATGCATGCTGATTATTTACTGTGCCCTATTGTGCACAATATACCAGGTGTGTTACTCAGGGATGAAGTAGATGCACACACGTGCCGGGCATCACGGCACAGGTTAGGTTTGCTACTAGCCGCTGCAGTGTACTTGTGGTCCGAACTTGCACTCTACTCAACTCTGCATACGCAAAGAGTGCTGGTGCCGAAATGAACCAGAAGGGTGCTGAGTGGGACGCAACAACACTGACTCTGTCTACCCATGTACACAGATATGATAGGGTATGCAGTACCTGCTCTAAGATTTAACACAAACCGGGTACACGTCTACCTGGCACAATTCCTGCAACACTGGGCCAGAGCCAGATGCGTTCAAGTGCGGCTACTGTGTGTCAGGGAGTCGTAAACTTACTTTCGACTTCCTGATGTACATGATTGTACATGTACATGTATGAACGTACTCGCACTGGGCACTCTGGCCGCACGCATCTGCACGCGTATGCAGCCTGTCAGTGGCGGTATGCCCTCGAACGGTATAAAAAAGTATAGTACTCGACAGGACTTCCGACCGGGTCTCAGGTAACCCAGTGTTCTTTTTCCAAAAGGTCCAAGTACTCACAAACAGGGCCACTGACCCGGCTCTGGAGCAGACACTGGTAATCTAGGTCCAAGTTTGCTCGATTTTGTTCTGACGCTTCATGTGCTTTCATAGCCAAGGTTTCTCACTTTCTTCGCAAGCTCTTTTAGTCTTGAGAGTTGACAACTGCTTATGGTTGTGTTGGCAGAAAACATGTCAGCTAATCTGACAACCGTCCAACCCCATTTTACTGGTAAGTAGTCAGCGAGTGGCTTTGATGGGGCCATACAGTACTAGAGGGGAAGTTACGCGGCATATTTGTGCTTCCTTTTTGAAAACACGTTCTCGCTCGAAGGGTTTCTTAACTTTATCCCTGCGCTCATTGATGGAGTTCATCGATGGAGTTGCCAGCGGCACTCTACAGAAGAACAATGTTGTCAAGTTTTTTATGAAAAATTGTCAAACATTTTCAAATTGCTATAAGTTTGGTTAGGGCCGGGTTCCACTGCGGCTCCGCAGCTCCGCTGCTCCACGGTACTTGGCTGCATGCAGCAGAGCGGCGTGGTTCCAGTGACACTCGCCATTCACGGTACCGCGATCGTGCTCGACGTTTTTTTTATGACATTTAGCCTGCCTGCGCGCGCGTGAAATCCAAAAAAAATCCTCGTGTTCTGGCCTGTGCAACGAATTAAAATTCCCCCGAATAAAACAATTAAGTGCGGGAAACAATGCAAGCCGTGACCGCGGCTTGCATTTTTTTGTATCAAGCAGCGAAGCGAAAGCTGGTGATGAGCCGCGGCCTCGCTGGACCAGCTCGTAATGATGACGTTTCATGCCGTGGATGATGTGCGGCGGAGCGGCAGTGGAACCCAGCCCTTAGGCAAAGGAAATTTGTCATTAATTTGTTTATGCTGCATAGATGGAGAGCTGCACACTCTGGCTTATGGACTCTCGCCTACAGTGTAGTCGTACTGCTAGTGTACTGGCATTACAGAAGACACGAAAAACGAGAACATAATTATGGCGAGAAAGTAATTACTGGCTAAGAATTGCCCTAAGACTTACCGCTTCTCAGTGCTCCATACCAGGAAGTAGTACACTACCTACTCCCTGCTCCATACGAGTGTTCTCTCCTCATTCTCTGCATCCTTTACCTCAGGAGTCTCGTCCATTTAGCGGCTCAAATGCTTGAGCTCCGGATAGCGGAAAATAGCTCGTCGTCCATTAGCGGCTCTAATAGTACCTGGTCTGAAGTGTCGCAGTCTAGCACAACTATGATTTTTTCCAGGAGGGTAAGGGTTGCAAACCCAAAGAGACCCTAAGCTTCGTCTATCAAACAAAACAATTGCCCTAAAAAATGGAAGAGGAAAAGAGTGAGCGAGCTGGTCTGAGCGCGCTACTTTTCAAAAAATAGAAGCTGAAAGCCATCAAAGTCAAAGCATTCTGGCTAGCGCGTTTGTGTATGTCACGAGCGCTAGCGCGCTAGTCGCAGCAAACGCTCGCAGGCCAGAGTTAGCGCTATTTGGGCTGTTTGCCGCACGCGGCAGCTGGATGGATCACGTGATCCAAGCTGACAAATAAGGTCCGATGGTTCAGCTACATTGAGCCACAAGCTAGCGTAGGTGCATGCTGCCATGCACCCTGCACGACATCTGTACGGAATACCATGGCAAGCTTCGTCGCGTGCATGGTTATGGATCCTCGGCCCCCTTGGCTGCAGCGTTCTTTCAGCAGTCCCGTGACGCCGCCGCGTGGACGCAATGCATGATTGGCCGAAAGGGCTCATGTGACCACTCGGCCGATCGGCCGAAGCCGAAGAATCAAATAAAACCCGTATTGCGTACGCCATCTTTCCTTTTCCTCTCCTTGCCTTGGACGTTGGGCTTGGAAGAGAGTTGTGGTGCAGAGGTTGATGATGAACCAACAGGATCTAGACCTCCACCAAAAGTGAGACCTACTTTTGCCAAGGGTGTTTTCTGGAAAGCAGCGAGTTGACTCTGGCTCTTGCTCTTTTTTTTTTAATTCTGTGTTTTGTAGACTCTCCATAGCATTCAGTACCCTCGGTACTGAAAGCTATAAATGTCGTCGCAAGCGGAGTCACTCCTCTACACTCGAGGTTGACTCCTTGGAGGCGTTTCTGACATGCCAGGAAGAACTCCAACATGTCGACGACCTTGTTGGTAACGACCTCTGGAGGAAGTTTGAATTAGCCCAGACATCTCCTCTACCACGGCCACAACGTCCGCTAACTAATTGCAAGTGTACAACTAATAGTAGTTCAGGCTGCGCTGATAATGTCGATCAAAATGGCCATGCTTGTAAAGTAAATCGTCATGCTGAGGCTGTGCGTGGTTTGCAGAAGTCTGCACCCCTATCACCACCGGACTCTGATGAATCAGGTGACGAAAGTGAAAACGGCACAGAGCTAATGGATGAAGAAAATGCAATTGTACACAGTAATGTTTTTAGAGATTGCATGTGGAGTTCTTCCAAGCTTACACTAAATTCTGTTGTCAACCAAGTTCCTGTCAGTGCAAGTCGTCGATCACCCAATGCTTCCTCGGAAGTTGGTCCAAAGCGGCCCGATGGCTTGGCCGGGCCTGGGAAAAGCTGTGCTGACGATAACGGACCTGAACCGTTTCCCTTTCCTTTGAATTCTCTGAACTCTGCCTACTGCCTGCCACGCCGCAAATCGTCAACCTCCAGCACTGGTAAGCAGATGTGCTGGTACTTTCTGCCTTCATATTTTCTCTTCTTATGACTACTAAGCATCAACCTATCACCGCTGACGCAACGTCGGCTACTGACTAACAATACATTACATGCACACATCTCTCCAAACATCTACAAAGGGACGTGGGTTTTGTGCGAGATGCATGAAATGGGGCGGGGGTGTCACTAACCTGGGAAGCCAGAAGTATACTGGATTGGATTAGCATCCAGCAGAGTTGCATTCCAAAGAACATGAGCCACATGGCCGTCCATCTGGGAAAGGCATTCCAAAGAACATGAGCCACATGGCTGTCCAACTGGGAAATAAAGCCAAACACCCTGCTGGGATTGAAGGGCACTGAAGTATTTGACGCCATGCTGGGACATTCTTGGGGCTGTGGTACCCCCCCCCCCCCCCCCCGAGCTTGTGCTCCTGCTGAGCAGCTGGAATGCAGATTCTTGTGCTGGTAGTATTTTATTGAAGTGCACTGTGGGAACAGTATCGAAGCACGATCCACTCCCAACCACACCAATATGCATTTGCTCCTCTTTTTTGGAATTTTTCATACATTGCCGCCCCTTAGGGAGACCGTTGTGCAAGTAAGATTGCTGCAACTCAAATTTTGCGTGGTCTGTACTCATGTGATATGTGTGGGTTGCATATACAGTCAACCTACCCCTCTATTATTGTAACGATATTTTCTGCATACATGTACATAAGTTTTTGATGCTAACAGGAGTAAAGAATTAGCTAAAAGCTTGCAATATGATTTAAGGATTGCAATCAACAGAACCAGCTTGAATTGTCATTTCACGAAGGTTTTATTGAGATGTTAATATGATGTACATGTATGAAATGAACCAGTTACTCTTATAACAATATCACCATCTGGTGCAAATATCGTTATGGCGGTAGGTTGATTGTATGTCCATGTGCTGTTTCCTGACAGCCTAGCACGCTTGACAGAAGGATTTAGAAAATCGATGGAATTGTCCTCCAGTGGTGCAGCATACTTTTGGCCTGACTTTGATTTGCACTGCACTGGAAATGATTCGCCCATCGATTTCTCAATTTCCATGCTTCTGTATAAATTTTCTTTAATTCTTCAGCATATTCCGTGCCAAATCCGTGCTTCAGACTGCTTTCGTTTTTGTCTACTTGGTTGAGTAGAGTAGAGCAGATTGTGAAGAAAGAAAAGACAGTGGTTGGAAGTTCGCGAACACAATGTACCGTAGTTCCGCGCATATAAGCCCATGGGCCTATATCCGGATATAAGCCCACTTCCGTTTATAGGCCCATGGGCTAATATACAGACCCAAACACCGTAGTACAGCATGTCAGTGCAGACTACATTACCAGTACCGGTACCTATGGTAGGCGGACAACCGCGGACGGACTTGTACTTTTTCGCGTGCCAGCTGCCTTCAAAATTCGAATATAGGCCCAGGACTAAAAAACGAACCATTGTGACTGATTCATTTTCCCAGAAAATGCATTATTTCATATATTAGCCCATGGGCTTATATGCGCGGAACTACGGTACCCATTTTGGTTGATCGCCGATGCAACAACTACCGTATATTCTCTATTATATTAAGCGCCGTGCTTATATATTTTCAACACCCCTCTACCCCGTGCTTATATTGGAGACCGTGCTTATATTTTTCAACCAATACATCCATAGAGAGCAAGAAGAAATACATGCTGGATATCATGCATGCAGCATTGATTTCCACCAAGACCGTGCTAATAATAGAGACTGTGCTTATAATTAGTGCTGAAACGATTACGTTTTTTCCTTAGTGGCTTAGCTGATACCATAACGATCGGCTTATCGGCTAAACGATTATTAATGTAACTACATCAGTACATGTACATTCTGTGAATTGGAAAAAAATTACGAATCCAACATCGCCAGCGACGGAAAGTGGGCGCATAGATCTGATGATCCGGACAAGTCCGTCAGCTGTTCAGCCTGACCACTGAGACAGATACAGACAAGACAGAGGCAGCTCACTGGTTGCAACCCAAGAGCTGATGGTGCCCTTCGCCTGTGACTTCGCTGACTACGATGATGAAGTCAGAGATGCCGGCCCGGGGTGCAGATCGGCGAATTTCGACGGATGAGCTGACTTGAGGCGCACCAACAAGTAACTAGTTGCTTTTCCTGTCTATGCTCAAAATAGGCCCAGACGCCAGGCCTAGCTCGTCGTCGAGCAAACTGGTTCGGGAACCGTCGACAGAACGGAAAACATGAAACTGAAGACCACTTTACTGTCTTTAGCTCAAGACTACTTGCACGTGGAGGGAACTCCAGCCTCTGCAGCTAGTGTAGACACATACTGAGCCTGCCCGTCCTGCATGCTGGATGTAAGAAAAGTAGTCAGCTCAAAAGACGGCGACGGTGATCGCGTCGATGTTTCTCAGATCGCGCTTGTGCTTTACACGTACATTGATGTTGCAAGTGTACAGTCATGTACATATTCGTGACGTAGACCTACTCCCAACACTTTCGATGCATGCACGCTTTGTGTGACCCCCAAAAGGGGGGAAATTCCGCACCGAGCATAAGTACCATTCTACTCGTTTAGCCGATAAAATTGAAATAACCGTTCGATCTATTTCTTATCGAGTAAGTAACGAGTAATCGATATGATCGTTTCAGCACTACTTATAATGTTTCGAAAGGTGCTCACAGTGTGCTAATATTAGAGACTGTGCTAGTAATGGAGACCTGTGCTTATAATAGAGAATATACGGTATGTTATGATTTATGTGGTGTATCGCCACCCCCACCCCCGTCTTTGTTCTTGCAGTATTTACAGTACGGTGTACGATACACACCGGCCCCCACACCGGGAGTGGCTGGAGTGGAAATGGACTTTGGAGTTGTTTTTTTTTGACAGCTTTCACAGAATCTTTGGACGATATCTGTACATTTTGCATACTACACCCTTGTTTTGTTTGATTGGGCCAGCGTTGCTCGGACTACACCGCCTGCGCACTCAATCCAGATTCGCCAATCGATGACACCCTAAATCCCCCTTGATTTATTTGTAAAATATGGACAACTGCTCGTTTAATTACATATTGTGCATTAAGAACTCAGATGGTGAGCCAAGGAAAATAAATTGTAACATGGAAATAATTGTGGGCACAAGTTAAGCGATAGAGTCCACCAACAAAACCAGATTTTGAACAGTTTGTGTTTTCCACAGTGCTGAACTTTTGTTCCTCCCGCGAGCGAGGTCCTCCCGCGAGGTATTCATGCGATACTGTGTGTTCCTAGTACAGTACCGTCAAATACCGTTGCCCTGATGATATTCTACATGTTGAACGACTTCAGTTCAAGGCCTTCCATATTGTATTTCGTACAGTAGAGTCGCGCGCTGAAGAACGTGGAGTCCAGGAACATCCAGCCTGAAATGCTATGAACCAGATTGCTGAAAGATAAGAACGTCCCAGGCTGACCCCTTGGAAACTATGTTTTTGGGCGCGCGTCTCTACTGTACTGCACTCGGCAGCCTGGATCTAATGGAAGCATTGGGAGGCATGCATCGAAGATGGCCGTCACCTTTTTGCGGCCCATGTTTGGCAGGTACTACACACCCGCCAGTACATTTGTGACTTTGATCCTTCACAGGTCATGTCTGGGCTTTTGTGCAGGGCTGATATCGCCGTGCGCATGGTTATAGTGAACTTTCCATGCAAAACCTTATAGCGGGAAAATGATGCGTATGTCCCATTCCCACCCAAACCGGACACCATCTACATAGGAAGCGACGCAGCGTGGGGGTAGAGCAGTGATACTTTATGGTATTAGTTTGATGTCCCTGTGGTATATTTCTTTCGTCTTGCGTTTTCTACTATGTCTAGCCAGTTTTACCATTAATTTTAACAATGTGCTCTGTTACTGTATGTTCTTTTGTGTTCTTTTTGTGTTGTAGATGGGGAGGAAGATGTGGATGCTAGCGTTGCTGAATACTGTTCCTTTCGGCACTCCACATCTGGAAAAACTCCTGCTACCTACACACCTCCTAGGACTGGTTGTATTTCAGCCTCTGTGGTTCATCATAAGAAGAACATACCAGGCTTCTCGCTGCCAATTTGCTCTGCAACTGTCAACACACCGCCTGCAACACCTAGTCCTGGCACGCCAGTAAGTGAGCTACCCACTGGCGCAGCAATTGCGCCCTCTACGCCTGCTGCAGCCATCACAACATCCACTGCATCCATGTCACCGCGGCCGATTGGCCTCCGTCCACAACGTCTATCCTTGCAAAGTGCGCCATCATCCCCCCTTAGCCCAAATGCTGCTGCCAAGCGTGTCCGCCGTGAACGTGAGCGTGTTCCGTCGATCACTCACTTGAGCACTTCGATTGATGAAGACGATCCTGAAGTTAAACGCGCTACCCACAATGTTCTTGAGCGTCGCCGGCGAGAGGACTTGAAAGTAATGTATGCCAACCTGCGTTGCTGTCTGCCGGACCTTGAATTGAAAGACAAAGCTGCCAAGGTGAAGATTCTTGAGAGAGCTAATGGCTTCATCCAGCGTCTTGTCAAGGAGAAGTCGAATCTTGATGACGAATTCAAAGTTCTCCAGCGCCGTAATTGCCAACTGCGCCAGCAGCTTTCCTCCCGTGGCCGCGGCCTAAAGCAGTAAGCCTGTGTGCCTTGTATCTGTGTTTCCCGTTTATGTGTTTTAGTTGTCTGGTCTCTTAGTTTGACCCCGTACTTAGTTTAGAATAGATCTTATAGCGGGCTGGTAATCGCTACAGCTGCGGTCCATTTCTTTCGGATTCCTTTAGCTGGAATGTAGTCTCTCTTGTGTGCGTGCGTCTGTGTGTCCGTCTGTGTGTCTCTACTCACTGTTCTCTCTACAGTTTGTCTAGTCTCTTGCACGGCTACAACTGGTGTTTATTTTTACTGCCTTGCTTTTACTACTGTTGGTATTTTGTTGCAAAAACCTTGCCGTGTTTGTGAGGGTACATGCACGCTTGCGATCTAGTGCAGTGCTGTATTCTTTTCTTTTAAGTGACCTTTTTTTTTTTTTTTTTATATTTTCTCCTCTCTGGCTACATTGAGCCCTGACTCTTGCCGATTCTTTCGTCTCTCTGGACTTTGATGCTTGATACTTTCTCTCTTTACATAACGTTGCTATTCCATTTTCTCTTCCTCTTGATGTGTGATTTTAGCATGATACGACTTTCTCTTTGCCTTTTACCTCTTTCTTTCATTCCTTTTTTCTCCTAACGTACATCATTTACCAGGTACAGTGTGCTATCTAGAGACCATAACGATTCAGAATCATTGAGTAGTCAATCTACGAACAAACTATTAGCTCGAGTCTTGTTCCTGGTGTGTTGACTGGGCAGCCAACATAGGCTAGGGACGAGTAGGGTGCCATTCATTCTAGCAAGAGTACATAACCATGTTATATACTCTTGATTCTAGTTTACTGTGCAGCAGAGTCACATACCCAAGAATGCCATTTTAATTGTCGAGCTGGGACCTTCTGATTTTTTTAGCCTGTGTGGCTGCGTTCTTATAGCACTTTCTTGCATAACCACAAGGGTGTGCAGCTCTGCATATGGGGTATGGCGCAGCACGCTGCCCACTTTACACTGGTTACGCAGACTGCGGCAGTGTCAAACTGTGAGCCATTGCTGATTTGCATCATTATTGATCTGCTGTACTGTTTCTTGCTTCCAAGTCCGCTTTCCTCGGAGACTTTGGATGGGTTTGTTTGTGATGTGAAATTGTTGCAGCTAAACCGTAGGAACTGGAAAGCTGAAGTCCAGGTAGCTTGTTCAGCATTTTACTGCAGTATGTAATGAAGGCAGGAATGCTTTTATGTACATATACATGTACACACCGTACCAGGGAGGTCGACTCCCTGGTATGATGATTATCCGAAGTAAAGGAAATACAGTCATGTACATGTATATTATACATCATTATTTATAGTAGTCAAATACAGTAATAGATATTCCAAAGATAAATGGGTGTCCATGGAGGGAATCTCATGAAATCGGAGGACGAGGAGGAATCACAGTTTATGATTGTACTCTTGTAGTCTTGCGCTTGCCTCTTGCAGTCTTGGTACAAGCAAGAGTACACACCCCAGGTTATCATGGTTATGTACTCTTGATCTTGCCTTGCACTATTGATTGGTACCAGGGAGTAGTACAATAATTATTGTACTACATGTACTCCCTGATTGGTACTACTAGTACTGTACAAGCTACCTATTGTAGTAGATCTACCTCCTGTTCTACACTACAGACCAGTGCAGTCTAGTCGTACACTCACCGTAGCATGCATTCGAACTCAAAACTCGATCGTCTTTTTTTTACCACACATTCCTGCACTTACAAGGGATTTCCCCGGGCCCTGCACTGCTGCAGAGCTCACCGCGTGGCCCGACAGCATGGGTATCACTATGGTTGCAGCCAATCATCGTCTTCTTCTGGAACCGCGGGAAAGACAAGCCAGCTTCGCACAGTGAGTTGTCTGAACTCTACAACAGTCCAATGTTTTGCTGATTTGCTGTGGAGTATTGTTATATCGGAGACTTCAGCGAAGTGACATGGCTCAGTTTCTTCGTCAAAGGCAACTCTATAGGAAGCGAGGTAATACAGTCATATTCCCACTGTCACCTTCAAGACGCGATTCTTTCATCTGGCCTGGGCTATATTCATCTTGCTGCTGCACGCCACGCCATCAGCTATCTGCTCGCCTTTGTGTTGTAATACATTCTCCTCAGTCATTGAGCACATTTCATATCTGCTGTGAATCCTGTACTAGATCGAATTGCCGTGCCCTGCCGATACCTGGAAGGGTTCCAGTGTCGTGAGCACGATGAGATAATCACCAGCAACGGGCACAATATATCGTTGGTGAGTTCTGACAAGTTATCTGTACATGAGGACATGTGCACAGTCGATTGTGGTGTTCGTTCGAGGCGTCTAATCGTCGCAGTGCAGAGATGAAATCTACCTGGCATAGTGTATAGACACGTAACACATAACATAAAATTACGGAACCATTTAAATCATCCTACAGAGAGTACTAGACCAACACTCCCATCGCTATGTGACTGTACGTGATAGTAACTAACACATGACAAAATCAGCGTTGTGCTGTGTTGCTTGGTCCGCCAATTTAAAGGGGAAGTTAAGCCTCAAATCAAGTTTTCACCCGTTGTAGTCTTGGGGGTGCTGCGTCGAATGGTCTTGGTCCGAGGAACCCGAGACGCTCCCTTCCTCCTTTATTCCCAATCGAACTCGCCACTTCCACCGAAGCTGGGTGACTGTGCCCTACTAGATGGGGATTTGTACGCAAAATGTCACTAAAAGCGCCATTTCGTTCTTATAAAAGCACGGATGACCGCGATTGGCCCATATGTTGTAGTCCTTTGGACGCTGAGTCGACTGGTTTTGGTCCGAGAAGGCTGCAATGCAGCATTCGTCCCTTATTCCCAATCAAACATGGTTGATAAGCGGTCACTTGTTCATGCGTACACCAGTCACCGTGCCTGCAGGGCACAACTTACAGCCTGTTTGGGCGCGTTCCTGTCACTCGAGTTGAACTCGAGTTGAATCTTGGTGTGAAAGTTGTACCCTGCAGGCGCGGTGACCAGGTGACTGGTGTATGCATGAGCACTTGACCGCTTATTCAACCGTGTTCGCTTGGGAATAAGGGCCGAAAGCTACATCGCAGCCTTTTCGGACCAAAACAAGTCGACTCAGTGTCCAAAAGACTACAACATACGGGCCAATCACGGTCAATTCCTCCTCCATCCCACTGGAATGGGAATCTGACTCAAGGTGATGTTGGCAATTTTCCAGCAGCTCTTCTGCGACATACTCACTGCTTACGAGTACTTGGTGTCCTGGTCTTGCATGGTCCAGGACTGAGTAGATTTGATGCTGACTCCCTGCATTTCTTGGATTTCGTTTTTTTATTGTGTGTTTTCAGAGCGACACCCCGCCACTTACTTGCAGGTTCAGCAAATGTGAGTGTGGTAGATAAGTTACATAATATGGGTGTGGTAGATACAGTGCTGCCAAATAATTTTCGCCCCAAATCGGACACCCTTCACCGTCAAGGCTGGCCACATGGTGCGAATTTTTCTCCTCGGCAATTTTTTTACAGAGAATTCAAAATATCGCCTAAAACACCATGAAAATTCGCTTTGTTGCCATGGTAACCCCGGAGTTGTCATGAATTTTGTAATGATGAGTGTGGTCGTACACTGACTCTGTATAGACTGTCAGTGTACATGCCATCCAGCCTGATCCAGGCATGTTACTTTGCACTTCCACAGCCAAGCGCAGCCTTTTTAGAAGCAAATGTGATTTGTGCCTTCAGTTGCGTTGAAAAGTGAAAGTACAGGACTTCTGCATATGAAAGTAATGATCTCCGACATTTTGGCTGTTTTTCGGACGTTTCCCTTTTCGGACCGGTTTTTCGGAAGAGCCTTCGAAAATCGGACACTGTCCGAAAAATCGGACGGTTTGGCAGCATTGTAGATACGTTACATAATGTGAGTGTGGTACATACGTTACATAATGTGAGTGTGGTACATACGTTACACAATGTGTGGTACATACGTGAGTGTGGTACATACGTTACATAACAATATTTTCTACGTCCCGGATGTGGAAAAGAGACCACAGGTGTAGATAAGCCAGGAGCGTCGGATGGTATTCGACATTGGTGCAGCCATGAATGGGTGGAGGGTCAGGGGTCCTCCCCCGAGGTATTTTTAGGGAAATTGGGCCCAAATAACCCATATTCCGTTGCTTCAAAAATCCCAAGATGAAATTGTTCTGCCGCACCGGTTCCGATGCCCCTGTAAGCTGTAATGTCGCTCGGTTGCATTCAATGCATACCTCTGCTGTTACATCGTGCCTGAAGTTTTGTGGAAGTTGCTGTGCGCTCCGTGTGTGAGTGCCTGTGCGTGTACGTACTTGTGTGTATGTGTGCGCGCGTGCGTGTTATATAAACTGTGGACCCATTTTGCACTGCTCACCAGAATGAGTGCGAGACAAAATTCCAGACGAGGAGGCATACACTCTGGTGGCCATTCCTGGACGTTTCTTTCTTTTCTCACGTCTTGTAACTCTCGCCACTGCAGGGATTCGGGATGGAGCGTTCATGGCAACGGCTGACGAAGCCGGTGTTCTGAGCCTGTATGACATTCGCCGGCCACTGTGCAAAGCGCTGGAAGGCTGTATGTTCCTCTGTGATCGTTTGTGCCTATGCTTGCTATGCTAGCTCTCTATTGTTGAGCATGGGTGTCGTACACCCCATTGCCGTATCAATCTGAACATGAGACAAATGCGAACTGCATTGCATTCCCCGCTGAGAGCATACTGTAGGAGTTGGTAAGACAGGACCAGCCAACTGCAGAGACTTGTTGTGACCCAGAGTAATATTTGTTGTACTTCAAAAGTGTGAGAAGTACTGAAATGAGTTGTTGACTTAGTACGTACACGTGGTGTTCAGTAGTCTACTATACTCTCAGGTTTGTTGTCGCGATAGTCTCTCTGGCCATTACCGTAAAGTACCGCCAGAGCGCCCCACCATCTCATCCTTTCGTGGTCGTATTGTGGAGGTGGTCTGCTGTCTGTAGGTCATACGACATGAACCTTGTACACATATTGCACGTTTTGCAGTCAATCCGTACCTTCAAGAGGACACAAGCTCCACACAAAACCTGCCAAGTGTGACCTTAGTACACTAAGATTCTCACATCGTACACACTTCATTGCACTCTGCCATACGATTTTCCTTTCTCTGGCTGTAAAATCAAGGTGGGGCGCTCTCGCGAGACGGGGCGCTCTGGCGGTACTTTACGGTACTAGCATGCGCTGTCCAGTGAAAACTGTTGAGCTACCACTGCAATTAAGAGGCCACCTGTCTTTTAAAAGTTAGGAGACCCGCTGCCTCAGGCCTCAACACCATCCCTCAACATGCATTCTGACTTGGGGAGCAAAGCCTCCTGTCTATGAAGGCTGGTTTACCATGCAGTGCACCGGCATGGGGTTTGCACATGTTCCGCTGTATTAGCTTAGCTGCTACATGTACTACTGTCATCTGTGCAGGATATTACGTGTGTATGGTAGCATCTAGCGTGCACAGCCATTCTCGTTGTTGGTGTCGCTGCAACCGTTGCTCTGTTCTGCCCTGTGTTGGTGCGTGCACAGCATGGGAAGCCCACAGCAATGCTGTCTTTGATCTGGCCTGGATGCCGGTGGATGGCGAGGCTAAACTGGTACGCTGCCTGTGATGTGTGCAATACGATAACTGGAGTCGTATGATGTGATGTGTGCAATACGGTAACTGGAGTCGTATGATTCGGATCTATGATCCCACGTTTACCCACTCTCTGTCTTGTGTTCTGTACACTGTTTGCGCGTACTTGCATGCATCCCTTGGTGACTGGTTCTCGCTGCGCACATACATACACCCTTGGTCCAGAAAACCTGCTCAGCGTGGATTTTCGAAATCTAGTGCTCCGTGTAGTGCTTCTTCTGTTGATCTTCTCACGTGTTGACTGGGTTTGTCCGGGCCCGGGCCTGGCAATCCCCCTTCCTGCAATGCTTGCTGATAGATCTTTGTCGCGTGGTCATATCGAAATATGTCGCGTATCCTGGGCTGTGTGCGTTGATAGCTGATCCCTTGTGATGCTTGCTGTCCGACTAGTCGTCGGGTGGGGTATTGGTCTTTTGCCCCTCATCTGATCTCTTGTCTTGTTCGTCTCTTCTCGTTGTCCCCTGCTGCTGCTGCACACTCAGCTCACTGCATCCGGTGATCAGAAGATTCATCTTTGGGACTGTGCCAGGACCAACTCGCCACTGGCTACCTTTGCTGGACATTCTGGCAGCGTGAAGTCGGTCAGCTTTTGCCAAGAAGAACCGAGTAAGTCCTTTGAACATGAAGCGTTCCCCCAAGCAGATGCGTTCCATGTACTACATTGTAATAACCATCTGGCCTCGCTCAACATGATGTGCCCGAGATGGAAAACAAAGGGAGATGCACTCTTTTTCTTCTTTTTGTTGTGGTCATAGTTGTGTGCGTGTTTCTGCTGGTACTGGTGCATTTGTAGGAATCCCCCCCCCCCCCCCCCCCACACACACACATATGTACAGTACTCCTGCAGGACTAAATAGTCACACTTGTGACCCAGTTGTCAGTCACAATAGAGCAAGCAATTTCATTTTCTACACTTTCATTACTCCGCAAAGGGGCACCACTCGGGGACGGTCACATCCACGTTCAAAGGTCAATGTTGAATCCCAGTCATCTAGTCAGGTGTCAGAGGCTCCACTGTGAATGATGTGTGAAACCTGTCTACGGCTACCGCTCAAGGGACCTTCAAAATGTGGTCTCTGCTGTCAGGTGGTCTCCTTATCCAGGGCCAATTGACTGGAAATAGCATCCCTTGGTCATGGCTCCAGTGGTCTTCTAGGACAGGTGGTCGCCTTATCCGAGCGGCCGCCTTGACAGCTTTTACTGTACTTTGCTATTGTACGTTTCCTGCATGGAGTTTCATCGCCGGCGTTGCTTGTGGTGTTTGTGTTGTTTCAGTGGTGTTTGCATCCGGTGCACGTGATGGCCACATCATGCTGTGGGATCTGAGAGTAAATCGGTCTGCTGGTAAGAGGCATATTTGTGTTTCGCCGCATGTACAGTGCGTATGGGTTATAGCGTGGTCGTGTAAAAGAATATACTGCCTACAAGAATGAACTCTCATGTTTTCATAATCATAACATGGATTTCAAGTGCACACTTATTCTTGCAAGCAATTTTATCGTACAGTAGAATATATCGGTCCTAAGAATGGACTTTGTGTAGCAAAACATACCAGATTAGTACAAAGTATATCGCCTGTAGTGATAATAATATAATATCCGTCCAATTCAGTTCCGATCTGACTCGCGTTGGGTCGCAGTGCTGCAGGTTCAACTGTTGTGGTCATGTAACTCATGTTGCATAGCCACATGGTAAGCCTATGTGACTATGACTGTCGGGAGAGAAGTAAGACTGAAATGTACCTTACTTATAAAACTATCACACTCAATGGACTACTACTCCAATTACGGCTCATGCACCTTCTCTCACCAGCCTCTAAATCTCACACTCTAGATCTCTCTCCGTCACTCCAATCATAGGGCACATACACTCCAATTACTCCAAACTCTTCGGGATTCTCTCTCTCTCTCTCTTTTCCAAAACGAGCAAAGAGAAAAAAAGGCCCAGAAGCGCAAGCATGCGCCTTGGTTATCAAAACATGAGAGCTCACGTGCTGCGAGAAATTACGTAACGTGTGTAAATGTTTTAGGTTTCAATATTAAATGTGGAGATCGCGTACGCGACAATGACCAGCCGCATGTACGATGATCTTCCTGCCTCTGCGCACATGCACATGATATGTCACACTTGATTTATCGTGTGTAAGAAATATCGGAAATAAGAATAGAAAGTAGTTTTTCAAACACCCACGCTATAACCGATACCTACTGTACATGTATTAATGCAGGCCATTCGTACAATCTCCAGTTAGTGCCACATGTCGGCGACGCAGGCTGCTGTGGTTTGGCCATGTGGTGCGAGAGGGTCCGGAATCCGCCTCGTTCCAAGCACTGGAGCTATCAATCAACACAAACGACATAAAAAAAAACCGTGGCCGTCCGCCATTGCGGTGGGTAGATACGATTCGGCACGACCTGAAGGCAGCGGATCTCTCCGTGGAGAGCGCTCTCCAAGCTGCAGGAGATAGACTAACTTGGCTTGACACTGTTGACAGATGCGTCGACTCTGCTCCTGTCTAACAGGTTCAGGGAAGATGCGAGCTGTGTTTATTATTATTATTATTATTATTATTATTCGTACATTTTTGAAAGCCTGTCTGTGAATGAGGGTTGTGGTGGCCCAGATGTGCTTCACGTAGTGTGCCAGTGGTGGTTACGCTGGTGCTGGCAGTGGCGTGTGTTGTCTGTGTGTGTACACACGCCCGGTGTGATTTTGATGGCAAAAGAAGCGACGATGCCTGTTTGGGTCTACTACTGTTTGACTGTGTGTACATGGTGTATGTATGTGTATGTCGTGTGTGAACTCTCTTATTGTTTTCCCTGTGCCACACAGGTGATCAACCTTACCAGGTAAAGCCTTGCTCTCAGCTGTTCAACGCTCACAGCTCACTCGGCATGGCAGCGTCCAGTACCAGTGCTCGGCCGTCTCTAAAGCGCTCTAACCGTAGCCAGGTGTGTCTTTGGTGACTGCGTGTGTGTGTGTATGTGCTCCATGTGCGAGAGCTCTTGGTAGGTAATTGTTTGATGTGGCTGTTGTCCTTTGTGCAGGGCTCTCTCCTGTACCTATATAATCTTGCATCAATTTTGCTCGTTGAGCAAAACAATTATTATAATGGGTGTGGCATCTTGTGATCCCAGTTTATAATAGTTGAGCGGCCACAGCCGGGCCTAGCTGATCAGTCCTGGTTTCAGTGGTACCGTAAAAGTCCGTAAATAAGTACGTATTTACTTTCGAATTTAGTGACTACACCCGTACTAACTTTCGGGCGGGTACTGACTTTCGGGCACGAACTAACTTTCGGACCTGGCTTGTGTGTAGTGGAGAAATCATTTTCATGTCGATGTACATGCTACGTGCTGCATGTGCGCATCGTACCGGTACTTATTTCGGGCAGTATGTTTATCGGGCTTGACTTGACTTCAACAGACAGAGCCAAAAGAAGTATTTCTTTCGGGCAGGTACTTATTTACAGACTTTTACGGTATATGAGCAGAGGCTGGAGGCTCGTCTTGCACACACACGTGCACGTGCACACACACACACACAGCGCTGTGCATTTACCAGCAGTGCCACTAATAGCATTGTCGTTTGTGTGTTGTACTTGATATTTGACTGTGTGCGGCAATGAAGGCGGAAACGGCTGGCAGGCAGAGTGTAACTGCAGTGCTGTTTCGCGATGATCGCTGTATCGTGTCAGCTGGTGGTGGTGATGGGTAGGTGCCTGGTGGCTCACTGTTTGCCTGCTTGCATGGGTGTGTGTTTGTTTGTGTGCGCGTGTGCGTGTGTAAGGATGTATGTGCACATGCATGCATTTGTGCATACGCATGTTTTTATTGCAGTCTCCAGAGAGCTTGGTATAGCTCGCCTTGAAAGTGCTCAGACCTTACTGACACCCTATGCCTGCAGGTTTAAAGGGGAAGTCCGGTGAAAAATTTAAATTTCACAGTCCGTAGAGTTCGGGTCGCTGAGTCGAATGGTCTTTGTCCGAGGAGGCTGCGGCCTATGGTTCGTCAGATACGCCCAATCGAACAAGCGCGAATTTGAGCGCACATCACCCAGATCCAGGTGATGACGTCACAGCGTGCAGCCAGGTAGCCACACCATCTAGTTGTGTACAAAATGGCCATATTCGGAGCGCGTTCGATTGGGGAACCGTTTGTCGCCGCTTCTTCGGACCAAGACCATTCGATTCAGTGTTACAAACACTACTTTCCTTGTGATTTTCAGCTCGGTAAACCTCGAGGTTATACCGTATTTTAGCCGTTTCCGAGTTGGACTTTTTCCGTCAGCAAGGCCTCTACGGCTCTAGCAATGCGCTGCGTGCATGCTAGCTGTAGTGCAGTCAACAAACTCACACACGGAACTACTCGCGCACTGCCGTGCAGGGGTAGCTACAACAAGACTCGAGTCACAAGACTCAAAAACTAGTCAACACACGTACACAGACTTGTCATGTACTACACTCGTATCAGTTCATGTGGTCAGAGAACGACGTTACGTGCGTTTCTCCTTGCCGGTGCCGGTGGTTGTGCTTTGAGAAAGAAAATTTTAGTTTTCCGCTCCAGTCCCGCCTCATTATTTTTTGCTACAGCGATGAGTGCACAACCGTGACAAGTGACAAAACAGCGAACAGCTCCCGGACCTAGAACTTTCAGATTCCATAGCGTTGCGAGCGGAGAGCCGTGCCCGTGGTTCAAAGAGCCTGCACTGTTCTCAAATTGAGTAGTCCGAAATATGCCAAGTTCGCACCAAAACATCACCATGTGCCAGGCTACTGGAGTCTAAGCGAATCGGTATGGAACAACATTTAGAGTACTCGCATCACTCTTCTCCATTTTGGCGACCCTGCTCTCCAGCGATCTGATAATTATATCAGCCTCGTCTGCAATAGCTGCTGCTTCTTCATCAGTCGGAAACTCAGTAGCGCTCACTCTTGACCGGCCCGCGCGGCCATTTCTTCAGCTGAATACCGAGGTTCTCAGCGCCAGACCAAACTCATGAAGGTCAGCCATGGCTGCATCCTCACTCTCACAAGGAGTTAGGTCTTCGGGGTCGCTTGCACCACCTAATATCAGTCGCCAAATCATTTGAAATAGCACTGACACTATTGCTTTCACGCACTCCTTTTGACCTAGCTGCACGCTATGACGTTGCGGAGGGTGTGGCGCGGCCGCATGACGTCATGGCGCAGCCCCCGAAACTCAGTTTTTCAAACGGAAATATCTCGAGAACGCTTTGGCAGAGACACGTGGGACCAACACCATTCGACTCAGCGCCCAAAACTCTACCGACCCTGAAATTTAAATTTTTCACCGGACTTCCCCTTTAACCATGTAGTATCCTGTGCCCCCACCACCCCCACCAACCCATGCCATGGATGACTATGTTGCATCTTTGGCGATGTTTCCGCGTCTTGTCTATCTGTCGTGTCTTACGCCCGACTATGTTGCACCTTTGGCGATGTTTCCGCGTCTTGTCTATCTGTCGTGTCTTACGCCCGACTATGTTGCACCTTTGGCGATGTTTCCGCGTCTTGTCTATCTGTCGCGTCTTACGCCGTGCCTATTCAGTACTGCTGAGCAACACCTATGTACAGTGCTGCTCAATGAAATCCAGTCACGTCGCTCAAGTACGCGCCGGGCGTTGCGCAGCCCTAGACCCGCGAACACTGGGCTGTGAACTGGCGCGTGACGCGACTGGATTTCATTGAGCAGCGCTGTAGTATACCTGTAGTGTTAGTGCCTGACTTGCTTGTAAGGCTTGAACTCTTCTTCAATTTTCTGTACTTGTAGCGCGCTGGGGTAGGTGAAGACCGAAGTTTTTGCGCGCTTTGCTGCTCTTGTCAGCAACAGCTGGGGATGTAGCACTGATGGTGTTGACTTCCTCGCCTGCAGATTTCCCCACGCATTGCAGAGTATATATAATGCTACACCCGTCTTTCTGCATGTTACTTCTAAAGTAAAGCAAGACAATTAGGTGGTAGTCCATTGACTAGTCTTCCTCGTAGCAGTTTTCTCACAAAATTCTTCCTTCTTCCTTCTTCTTCAGAATGATCAAGGTTTGGGATATTCGTATGCCAAGATCTATCCATCAGCTTGTACCCACTCCTACTGCTGCGTTTTCCTACTGTGGTGGGAGGCAAGGGAAACATGGTGAGTCTGCTTCAGAATTCTCTCTCTCTCTCTCTCTCTCTCTCTCTCTCTCTCTCTCTCTCTCTCTCTCTCTCTCTCTCTCTCTCTCTCTCTCTCTCTCTCTCTCTCTCTCTCTCTCTCTCTCTTGAACAGCAGCTCTGCCTTTTCCTGTAGCTTTGTTAAATACGCTCTGTGTGGTACATGCAGTATACATGTGGGACTGGGACTGTGTGTGACTGTTGGTCTGTTGTAGCAAATTCTGCGTGATGCTGCATTGTCACTGATGAACTACATGTATTTATCTCCGCCGCATCTTTGACCAATTCCTGTTGTGCAGGCTTCACTGGCCTGGTGATGGATCCCATCAAGGCTACTGTGTTTGCAAGCTGTACTGATGATGTGTAAGTTGTGTTGACTGCCACGCAAACCTCCACCAGCCAATGGCTGGCCTGGGTATTCTATCTCGTCTCCTCTGTGCGGCTGTATGCCTTGTTATTGAGCTACACATGGATGTCTGAAATCCTTTTAAAATCGGCAAACACTCACTCTCAAGGCTGTGTTCATCGCATTGCAGTATTATTTTCAACTTTTAAGAAAGTACATGGCTTTTCTGTTGTTGACTAGCTAGGTGGGTAAAAGTAGCTTATGCCTCCAGTGTATGGTCGTGAGTTTGTGCTCTCTGCGAATGTCTCACTTGCCCCTTTGTGCAGCGTGTACCGTTACGACATTGCAGCATGTTCTCCCAAGCCAGGTGAGAGGCTCTGTGTGTGTGTGTGTATGTGTGTGTGTGTGTGTGCGCGTGTGTGTGTAAAGTTAATACTAGAGATATGGAGTGTATATGGAACAGTCCATGTGCGTGATGCTGTGGTCCTTACAATATCCTTTGTGAAAATACATGTATGCTACTGGATACATGGTATCTGCATGATGCATCGTCGCACTCGTCTAATGAATCACAATACGTTACCGGTGGGTACGCAACCGCGGGTATCATCAAAGTCTGTTTGAATACCGGTACTTTGAACGGCTTTCCAGCTTCATAAAAATCGCTGCCACAGTTCTACCCTGGTGTCTTGTTTTAGCTAACACTATGACTGTTGCCGCGACTGCTGTGCATAACGCATGTGTTTATCCGCCTGTTGCATGCGCACCTGCAGTCTCCACCATCCAGTCGCAAGGCCTGGGCTCATACTACGTCAAGATGGATCTCAGTGCGGATGGACAGTGAGTGAAACACGTGTGGGTGTAGTCGTTGCCTGTGTCCTGTTCTGTGGCCCGAGCAGTGAAGCTCCATATACATGTACCTGTATATACCATAATGTCTAGCTTGGCATTGCTATCCGGTGATCAGCCAATCCGTAGTGGTGGTGGGTGTGTGTGTGTGTGTGTGTGTTGTCTGCATCACTTCCGCCCAGTTGCGTCTCTAATCCCCTAGCCCGATTACTGGAGACTGCTCTGTTCACTTGTTATGTCATGCATTGCGCTGTTCTTTGTTTTGCGTGTTGTCTTGCTTAGATTTCTTGTAACGGGGTCCATGGAAAGCGACGCTCTGATCTATCAGGTACTGGAATTTTTCAGAAATTGTTGGTGTACATTATTATACTTTGGGTACTTCCTGTTTCTTGCCCAACCTTTTCAACATGCAAACACCAGCACACATGATCCAATCGACCGATTGCCCGATAATGAAATGTGTACACAATGTGTGCAAACCTATAGGATGAAGTGGGTGATACTCTGGGTTTTTGTGTTAGATCTGCGGAGCCCCAAAAGTCTCCTGAAAGCACCCATCTTGTCTAGAGGGTGTGCACGCAGGTGACATCACAATGACGTTGAGCACTTCGTTCTATTCTCGTAGGTTTCTCCACACCTGGCCTACTGTAGTTGTTGTGTGCGTGCAATGCTCTGCATTCCTACTTTTTCTACTCCACTTATAACGAACTTGCATTATAGCAAATTGTATGATACGGCGAACCACTGTCCATGTCTCTGGTCAAGCCCATACGAATTTAATTGACCCTTCATACTAGGGAACAGCTGTCGTATATAACGCACCATACCTTGTAGGGCCGCACGTAATCCAAGTGCGCTCACACTGTCATGGGCCACATGCCAGTCATGACTAGTGTTGCTTGTATGGTGTGAGTGCATTTCTGCTGTAGCGAACTTCAGCTATAAGCAACTAAATCTGCACATTGGTGCTTGCTTTAGCAGGAGTCGACTGTATGCTGCTTGTAATACAGGGTAAGAAGGTGTGTGGCTGAAACGTTTTAAGACGTTTAATGTTACAATGTATGAAAGTTATCTCTGTGACAATGGTAGTCGGCCTGTCCCTGTGTGTTTCCATGTCCGTTGTGAAGGTGAACCATCCGCAGGTTCCTCATGCTGCACTTAGCGGGCATGTGGGAGAAGTCATGGCTGTTGCGTTCTGCCCCGGAAACCAGGAGCAGGTATGTGTGTGGCAGGTGATATTCTCTCTCTCTCTTGCTGTTGTGTTATCATCTTCATCTTCAACCTCTTCTTAGCAAAGGGACATCAAGTGTCCAAAAACCGTTCCCAGTCTTTGTGTAATGTGATTATGAAGCACACCGGGTGTCCTCGGACCAGTTGCTAAACCCTTGCTGACTTCACTGTTTTCCACCGCTTGATGTTGTGTGCTTTGGTGCAGCTTGTCACGTGTAGCGATGATTGCTCGGTGCGACTGTGGTGAGTTGGACGGGATTAGCACCTGTGCGAGAAAAAAAGTCTGAAGCCGTACCGTGTGTGTGTGCGTGTGTGCGCACACTGCACAGCTACGCAATCCGTTTTGCTCTTTCTTTGCAACCTACTATCATGGAACAAGATTGGAATGGTGCCAGGGTATCCAGTGAGGTTTAAAAAATTATGGTTGAAACGAGCAGGGGCACTGAAATGGAAAAGTAAAAAGTTAAAAAAAAAGTTAAAACCCCATGTTTGACTTTTTGGTGGTGAACCTGGGGCTAGGCTAGACTGTACCACGGCTTTGTGACTTTGCAGAGTCAAAAGGCCCAAGATCATGAAAATCGCCCAAAGGAAGCCAAAGATATACCAAAGTGTCGATCCTTGAGCACGGAGTTATCTCTGTGCAACAAGCCATGTTGATAGTGATTCAGTGGACAGAAGACATAACACTGTGGTATACTCAAGGTTTTTTGTTTAGTACTTACCCCTGCATTGGCCACCGCTCTCAAACTTCTTCTCTTTAATCCTGTTCTGTTCTGAGTGCAGGCGTCATAAGAACACCGCAGCTCTCTTGTCCCGCGACTTGTCTGATGCCCGACTGATCGGCAGAGCCACACTTGTTGCAGGTAAGATACGTGTGTATGTGTGTGTGTGTGGTGGGGGGGGGGGGGGGGGGGGGTACATTGCCACAAGTTCACAATGGTGGTTGTAACTCCGCTGTTCATGGCAGTGGGCTTATCACCAGACAACACACTGACGATAATGAGCAGGTTGCCTACGACTATAATGGGGGAGGTGCGTAGTAAATATAGTGGACACAAGCTCAGTGCAATGTGCACAGTGCCACCGTAAAGACCGGGACAACTTCAAAAGGAATCTTTCCAGTTGATCATTGTCCGCTCTGGGTCAGGCATAGTCTCCTCAAACTCCCCGCATCCAGCCCACCGGGGTCCAGAGCTCGTCCGCAGCTGCGATGGTAGGGACACAGAACACATAAAGTTTGTGCAGCCGTGTAACGTTACACCCCGAGGCTGTCTGATTTCCTGGATTAGGGGGCCTCTGGACTCAGAATATTGGTGGCTATCAATTATAGACCACACCCCATCAGTGAATAGTTGAATATGATCTCAGTTGATGTGAAGAGTGCTGCGTTGTTCTATCAATAGAGTGTTGACGGCTCACAGAACGAGTTCAGAATGGACCGCGGACTCATTTCCAAATTCCAAGCCGTGCCCAGCTGACAGGGAATTGAGACCGGTTTCACGAGTTCATTACGAGTCGGGGACACGTGAACTCGTTGCACGCTCATTTAACGAGTTGCTGAACGTCACTAATGCCTTGTGTTGATTGCCTTCTATTGCCTCCTCACAGCTCCACCAGAGCCTGTAGTTGCACCGACTGCTTGCGATGGCACAGTGGCAGCAGCAGCCGGCAGTGCCAGCAGAGAGCCTGGGCAAGTGACACCGTCGCGCGACAAGTGCATGCGTACTGCGTCCATGCTCAGCTTTGTGAAGGTGACTCCCAGTCGCACTGCTCTGTTCCAGGACGACAAGGAGAACATTGCCGTGGACTCGTCCGCTGCCACCTCCGCCGCCGCCGCAGCACCTGCAAGAACAGGTGCTGAGGGTGCGCCTACGCACAGAGCAGCGGTCGTCGCTGGAGCATCCGTGGGGCCACCGCCTGCCAAGCGCATGTTCACACTTCCGCTGAGTCCCTCTCGGCAGACAGTGGTCACATCCAGTGCGGGTACTGGTACCACTACCCAGCAACCAACAACACCCAAGACACCACTATCTCCAGCGACACGAACAGCTGTCTCGCCGTCCACCAGAACTGCGCTAACCCCTGTTTTCTCTGCATCGTCTCGCTCTAGAACGTCGCCAGGTGGCAGCAATAGGGCAGGAAGGAGCTCATCCAACAAGGCCCCTGGCACTCCGAAACTGACGTCGCTCCAGCAGTGGTTGAGTCCCCGACCCCAGCCACCATCATCTTCGTCTTCGCCAGCGGTTGCGACTGGTCTCACTTCGCCGTCCGGTCGTGTTACGCCGACACGAAGCTCTCAGCAGCAGCGCCTTTCACCGTCGCCATCTTCCTCCTCACCGATGGGTGGTATGGTATGTGCTGCTGGTGTTGCCACTTCACCCAGCACTGCACCCACCACATCGTGTCGACAGAACTTGTTGTCTCCAATGGCGTTCACTGCCGTTCCTTCGCCAGAGAGTCCTGCCTTGTCAAGCAGTGCTCCACGAATGGCAACCGCAGAATAGCGTAAATGACGACACGGCATATGTACATTTAACCAATGCCCCTCCTGGGCGACACGCGCAACACTGTCCGTCATAAACCACGGCGTACGTGTACACTCTTCTCCTAAATTATGACCTTCAACAACTTCAAATACTTCCTCCAGTTTCCTTCGATTTTGATAAGCCTGCTTGACCCCGCGAACTGTCACTATCACTGCTCATGACACGCACGCAGACACACACACACACACACACACACACACACACACACACACACACACACACACACACACACACGAGAACATATTCCCATCACACATCTGATTCTGACACATTCTCTGTTCATACTGATTACTATCTACTTTTCAATAGCATGAAAAATACGGTTGCTAACAACAGTTGCTTTGAAGTAGCCAACTTTCTCTTCTTCTGCTCGATTTGCTCTTCATTTTTGTTCGCTACCAGCTGATTGTGTATATGCCCATTATCTTGCTGCCCACTAACACTTGAATTGTTCTCTGTACGAGTGTACGTAGATGGCATTTTCGTGAGCAAAGCGAGGAGCGCTTCAGCTGCTGCCAGTGTTGCATGTGTCTAGGGGGAGAGCAAGACTCTCTGTTGTGACCAAACAGGTTGAACAAGACACATTCTCTGTTCATACTGATTACTATCTACTTTTCAATAGCATGAAAAATACGGTTGCTAACAACAGTTGCTTTGAAGTAGCCAACTTTCTCTTCTTCTGCTCGATTTGCTCTTCATTTTTGTTCGCTACCAGCTGATTGTGTATATGCCCATTATCTTGCTGCCCACTAACACTTGAATTGTTCTCTGTACGAGTGTACGTAGATGGCATTTTCGTGAGCAAAGCGAGGAGCGCTTCAGCTGCTGCCAGTGTTGCATGTGTCTAGGGGGAGAGCAAGACTCTCTGTTGTGACCAAACAGGTTGAACAAGATTGACCCATATGGCCATGTGGACTGACGATAAGCGAAGAACAAGAGGGCATAGGGAATGGGCTTAATTAACGTTCAGAAAGAACACGGTATGCACGGCGCCCCACCTACACACACACAACACGCACTCGCACACACACAACACGCACACACACAGTTAATGTGCAGGCGCTGGCTGTGCAGTAGGGTTATAAAAAAGATTGGTTGATCAGAGTACATGTTGGTAGAAAGTGGTATAGCCGGGAACGGCAGCACTTCGCGAAACTCCTGGGTTAGGATAAATTATCTTGGGGGCTAGCATTCTTCTAAAACGGCTCTTGAATGGTAGCAGAAGGGAGAAAGCGATAAAAGCTTCAATTCTAAAACTAGGTCACCAAACACCAATACAAGTAGTACGGAGAAGAAAGACAGCAGTAGCTCGGAGCACCCACCACACAACCTATGCATTGTGGATAGATCTCGACCAACAAACAATGGTGCTAGGCGCTGTCGCTGCTAGGTGGACAGAAGACCACACAAACAAGCGCGTATCCACAGCTAGCATGTTGGGACACAGAGGTCGGAGTCCGTATGTGGGGATCTTCAGAGCCGAGTTGTTCTTGGGAGCACTGCCACTGGCACTTCTAAACAAAACCCAATCCACTGTACTGGTATGCTGGACAGAGTACGAAACTGCGGACGGTAATCACTAGGCAACCGCTTCATACTCGGTACAGAGCTACGTCCGGATACAATCCTCTTACACCCTCAGTATTGTGCACCTGCGACAAGACAACAACAACAACAACATCGTACTCTCTTCAAATCCCAGATATCCTTGCTGTTGCACAACTCTGTATGCTCGTGTAGCGACCACCCCTAGGCCCTGCCCGTACACGTAAGTACTGTAATTTCACAAATTTTCGGTGTACTTTTATTTTCGGTACTTTCGGTGCATCTGTTTCATACCTAAAATTTCAATACACTGAACAAACACTAACACACATAATCCAATAGGGAACTGCTTCTCTGTACCGAACATTTCTGTTCACCTAACCTGGCCTTTTGCCCTCATACCGAAAAAATTGAGCACCGAAAATTTCTGAAATTAGAGTAGTCATTAACCCCTAAGCTCTACCCACCCAATTCTTCCTCACTCTTTCTCCTTTCTTTCACTATTATCTCTTATTGGCCACTGGCTATCGTGAGAATAAAGATTTGAAACAACAGACAAGAACAGCAAGATACCTTCGGGCTGAACGCCTCTTTCACACACATACGATGTACTGGCACTAGCTGCCGTAATCACACTTGGTTTTTGGTAGGTTCCTATCTTCAGCACTCTCGCACATTTTAAGGTCTACCACCTAAATTTCAATTTCACACAGGCACCAACGACTCGTCACCACTGGAAGAGATGTGATCCCGGGGTACCGGGAATCACATGCAACCGAAAACTACAATTTATAGTGCCTTCACAGTAGAAAGGAGTATCTGTTTAAAGACTGTTTTTGTTATCCCTCTAGTTGGAAAAATGGAAATGATCGAAAGCATTACAAGGTGCACAACTGCATGACAGGAGCATCTGCTCAATCAAAAGTTTCAATATGATAAATCTACGTGCAACACGGGGCTAGAACAGGACAATCATGACAAGTTGACGCGGATTTCAAAGGCAACACACAGCACAAATAGTACAGAAGAAGTCGAAACGGGAAGACGAGAATATTCATGCACACACAAATCAGTGCTATTTACTGTACTCTCTCTCTCCCTCTCCCTCTCCCTCTCCCCCCCCCCCCCTCTCTCTCTCTCTCTCTCTCTCTCTCTCTCTCCATCACTGGCCTGTTGCCTGCCTCATCAAAAACTACGCAAACAAACAGCGAACATACCTGTTCAAACCAACGAGCCAAATGCTGAAAACCGCCAAAGCTAAAATTTGAACTCTGCACACGCACGCACGCACACACAAAGAGGAGGGAAGAAGACATAACAATCCGATCGTAGAATGCATGCATATGCTTACTTTAGTCCTGCTCAACGAAATCCGATCTCATCAAATACATTAGCAGCCTACACCAGTGCACAGCCCAGTGTTGTCAGGTCTGGTACGGTGTCTGGTACGGTTGGATTTCAGTAAGCAGCACCGCAGGATTTGTTTGAAGAAATGAATAAGCGACGCAGAGACTAGGGGTATTACAGCGATACCATTGAAGCAATGTGTTTTTCGGCGGGGGGGGGGGGGGGGGGGGGGGAGAGAGAGAGAGAGAGAGAGAGAGAGAGAGAGAGAGAGTGTGTGTGTGTGTGTGTTCATGTTACCTCCTTGAAACAAAACTTACAATGAGACCGTGCATTCAGCGCGAGTACACAGCTAAGAGCTTGTCATGTATCGTAGCACTTGTGAGGAAAAAGATTGATTATCCACTCCCTTTGCTTTTTGACTTTCATGAAACAAAGCACCATAAGTGTGTGTGGGGGGGGGGGGGGGGGGGAGGAGGGCACATAATGGTACTTTACGATACATGCACGCCCTATCACGGTATCACCCTATCACCCCATGGCAACACATGTACAAGAAAACAAACTCATCACCACGTGTTTATACTAGGGAGCATGTACTGTCCAGACATCCAGAGGGACAGGCATAACGTTAGATACACAGACGCAAACACAGACCAACACATGCACGCACGCACGCGCACGCGCACACACACACACACACACACACACACACACACACACCTGCACTGTTCAGCAGCACAGGGCTGCTTCAGCAGAGATAATTGCAACACTTACCAGTATAGGGTGGCACACTGCATAGAGCCAAAGATCAGCTAATGATAAACAGTGTGTTGCTAGAAACGAACGAGATGCCAGCCAGTCATTGATGTGCTGAGCAGTAACAACGAATGGGAAAGAAAATTGGCCTCAGGGTTACGCTTGCAAGTTTGACAACTAGAGTGCATGTGTTGGCCAATTGACACATGACATGAGTACATGGCTGGAGTACAATACAAAGGGAATGCCTCATGACTGACTGGAGTACACTACAAGGGGAATGCCTCATGACTGACTGGAGTACACTACAAGGAGAATATCACTGACACAGCGTGCACAGGCCAAACATGCCAAGCAGGTGCCGCACTGGAAAATGACTCCAACCCCTGGCGTGCTTCTGACTAGGCCGGATGAGAGCTGCACACTGCGCAATGTCAAATTCGATAGGTGCGGAAATCATCGCGCCAAATATGTATAGTTTGCTATGACTTGCAAAGCACAAGGTGAAGGCAAAGGTGCAAGTTGACAACTTGTCCAAGCACATGTACGGACTTTGGTACGACCATGAAAGCAATGATGGGAAGGGTTGCACCATTCTTTTAAAAAAATTTAACGCATGAGTAAGTGCCAAGTTCAAGCACAAGCGCAATGTTTCGGCCAACCTTCTCTCTGCTAACTGTGTTAAAGTTTGAGAGTGAAACCCAAATGTCAGCGACACAGAATGCACACGACCAGCTGGTGCTAAAAAGGAGAAGTCGAACAGGAAACAACATGGGTCTATTCTAATATTCACTACTTGAGCGAATGGAAAAGGGAACAGGTTTAGGTAACAACTTAAGCGCTTCTTCTGGAGAGGTGCATTGGTTCCAAGTTGCTGCTGCAGCTGCTATACTAGCACATCGCCACCACGCACTCCTTGCTACTGAAGTACAATTGCTATACTAGCACATTGCCACCATACATTCATTGATACAATTGCTATACTAGCGCACTGCCACAATGTATTCATGACGTGTCACTGGTTTAGCACGCAAAATCATTAATTTCGCACGTGGATGACAGCGGAGGGGCACTACACCTACTGATTGCCATTGTAGAATTTGTAGTACAATCACACAGGCAGGCATAACGGTGTGCCGCCAGCAGTCTCTCCTGCCGGTATACATGTACCACCGCAATCACTATCGTTTGGTATACGCAAGCCCTGCTCGATAGGTTAACATGCTGTGGCAGTCAGGAGCACTGCTGTGCGCCCTCCGCCTTGTAACATATTGTCATCGTCAAAACGTGTTTTTTTAATTTTGTTTTTTATTCTTTATTCTACTAGGGAAATCCCAACAGGCGTCTTCGCCTTTTTACAGGGAACCCTAGGAAAGTCTTGATGGATGATCGAAATGCAGCAGGTGAATTGGACAGGCGGTAAGCAGGTACGTGTTTATCACTACTGTACTGCTGTTCATTCTATACTACTATCGTAAAAGTCCGTAAATAAGTACGTATTTACTTTCGAATTTAGTGACCACACCCGTACTAACTTTCGGGCGAGTACCGACTTTCGGGCACGACCACAACCTTTCGGACCTGACTTGTGTGACTTGTGTGTAGTGGAGAAGTCATTTTCATGTAGATGTACATGCTATGTGCTGCATGTGCGCATCGTACCGGTACTTATTTCGGGCAGTATGTTTATCGGGCTTGACTTGACTTCAACAGACAGAGCCAAAAGAATGAAGGGGGTATTTCTTTCGGGCAGGTACTTATTTACGGACTTCTACGGTAGTGCCAGTAGTGCCAGCAGTGCAAGCCGTGGTGGCAAGGAGAGCAGTTACAGTGCAGGCCCGCCGGAACCGGTCCGCTTTGGTCAGGTTAACGCCGGACCAACTTTGTAGCTACCAACGCTGAGGAGGGCATACGTCCCTGCCATATTATACACAAAGTATGGAAGACTACGGTACGACCGGACCAATTGAAACGTGCTTCCGGCGGTCCTGCAGTGTAGCTGTGATAGTGCTGAGATTCAACAGACACAATCAGAAGCACATGACCACAAGCCAACAGTAGGGCAATACAGAAGCCAATGTGTTGACAAGTAGTAAGTAGCAGTAGTCTGCACCCTCACCTGGAGCATGCTATGCCGAGAGGAGGCCGTCTTGAGCTGGTGCGCTGCATCGCACCACTGCCAGATTGCGGCATTCTCGCTGGCACCCTGACCTAGCAAACACACCGACTGTCGACTGTTGGGCTGACTGTGGCCGACCAGACTTCGACCGACAGCGCTCGTGCCTTCGGCGGCCACTGAAGAGTCTACTTCCAGCTGCGGCTACAAAACAAGCAAACACAAGTCAAGGGAGATGAGAAGAGAGAGAGAGAGACAGAGAGAGACAGAGAGAGAGAGAGACAGAGAGAGAGAGAGAGAGAGAGAGAGAGAGAGAGAGAGAGAGAGAGAGAGAGAGAGAGTGAGAGTGAGAGAGAGAGTGAGAGAGAGAGAGAAAACTATCACAAAATACATCTGTCGGTATACACACCCAACCAGCTCTAAAAACTGGGATAATTAGGCCATGTAAAATATTTATAGAAAAGAAAAAGTACCGAGGAACTAACTGGCTAACAGCTCTAGCACATCTTGGATGCGCACTCCAACAGCCTTCCAACTTGGAAGGTTCTAAGTTATAGAAATAACATAAGGAGGGGAAGGTGAGTGCAGCCAAAATGTAGAACGTCAGTACCGTCGGTCAGTGTCGTGCAATGTTATCGCATGAGCTGATTGTTTAGTAACTGGTGGTGCTAGTGGACATTATAGCGTAACTTGTAGTTCCTTGGTCCTTTTTCTTTTCTATAAATTAATTCCTGGCTCTCCATGCGAGTCCATGTAAAATATATTGATTGTTTATAGTCAGATTTTCCTGAGAAATCGGGGCGGACGGGAGGGTTTTTATTTTATTTTTTATTTCGTATATACGGCTGTAGAGTAGTTTTTCGCAATCCCTGACATGCCTTTTTCCTCACCTGTCTTCTTTCCTTGAAGCCATTTTGGTGCAGAATGTGATAAAATTGGTAGAACCATGGGTAGTCGACTGCTCGTATGCTGGCCTTTGTCGTAGATCGACACAGTACGAAATGAATTTGGAACACGCGATTCGAGTTTTCGCCATCGGAGACCCCATATGCAGAGTGGCACAACCTTGGAAGCTTAGTTACCATGGTTATTCTGGATAACTATCAAGAAGTTTGACACCACCATTTCGCTGCACTAGTTGGCAGTCACCTGTCACCATCCAACAATTCGGACAGGCCTGCGTCGACAGTATAGTGAAGGAGCAACGTATCATGATAGAAAAGCTAGAGTGGCTGGGTCCCAGAAATGCTGAACCCAAACGGCGACAGCTCTGTGTGCAAGTCGACTACCGTAGAATCCCGCGGATAAGCCCCCGGGCTTATCTGTTTCACAAGGACATTTCGGTGGGCTTATACGCCGACACCAAAGTTGTGCTATTGAAAAGTAACAAGGAAGTGGGAAGTACATTGCTGAAAATCACTGTGCAAACAAAAACAACCGATGATTGTGTTGAAATGTACAAAAAAACGTACATGGTACGATCTAGGCCCATGGGCTTGTGCGACGAAGCTTCGCGATGTTCGAACTTGGCCTGGGTTTATACGCGGGTGGGCTTTTGTTGAGCTTTGAAGGCCTATGCTTCTCATAAACATCTACAGAATTTAATAACAATACAGTCAGACCTCGCATAACCGCACACATCCGTTTTCCACAAAAGTATCCGGATAGGCGAGGGAACCGGATAACTGAACACACATACTGTATATGCATGTGGCATATCAAAAGGAGTGGCCTCGTACATACATGTAGACGGGTCCTATGCAGTACAACTAGCGTGCTCAGTATGTAAAACAAGCCAGAAAAATGACAAGTGCATGCAACTGAGTGCTATCCGCATGCATCCAGCAGGTCAAGGACCTCATTTGCTTGTATAACTCCCTGATTCTAGCTTTTGCAAGCCATGTGCAACCGGATACGACGAAGCTTTTTGTACACATTTCAACCAGTTTGTACACAAAAACATGCACCGGTACGCGGTATGCGCATATATGCGGATCGTGAGGTCCGGTTATGTTGTATGCGTAACATATGCTGCACATCGGTAACCAGCGATTTTCTTCCGGATGGCGAGGGATCCGGATAAAAGAGGACAGGATATATACCGGATAAGCGAGGTCTGACTGTACTGGTCGCTGGACCCTGACCGCACCAGACGTACTACATGAGTGTAGTACTATGTCACTATGTGCCAGTATGCCTTTGGCAAAGCTTGGCAATAATCACCATGATCACGATTGTTGCAGGACCTAGATATTACCAAACGTGCATGATTAGATGTTAGTGTGGAACAAAAGATATCAGTGCAGTGAGTGATGTACCTGCCTGAAAACGAGAAACTATTCTTTTCACATCCCTCAAATAATGACTCCATGATATTCTATTCTCTATACTATAGCACTTACTGAATTGCCTGGAACGAGATCAACGCTGACACAGCATGACGATGTTCTCTGCACATAATTCACCAGGAGATGCAGCTCCCTATCCTGAGGACGGCAGGAGACTCGAAGCACCGGCATAGTTGACATCGATCCGCAACAAACTCGAGTTAGTTACTCGTTCGAATACAACAAAGCTGATGGAAACAGTACAGAGAAAAAACTTCAAAACTCTTGACAAAAGACAGCTGACAAGATAGTTCAGTGATACTTCAGTATAAAGTACACTGGATACACTGGACATAACATACACTGTGGATATAAAGTACTTTTTTGCATAATATTCATTCTGTCTTCAGAACATGACCGGCCTGAGCTGTTGTCATGACGTCAACAGTCATGACATGAGGATTGAGGAGGCCGTAGTACAAATTCAAAGTACAGGTGGAATCCTGATAATTCGAACCTCCAAATGCCGGGAAAAACTTCTTATTATCCGGACATTTTAATTATCCAAACATGAACCCGCAACAATTACATAGTAGTAATGATTATTTTGATAGGGAAGGCCCTACAGAAGTTGCCGTCTATAATTGTGACAATAACTATGTCAAAATGCTCCCATGTTCACGCAGAGTTGCGCTATGGACCTTAGATACAGATTTCACGGATACTGAACTGACCAGTACAGCCTGCTCAGATCATGCAAACTGAGCTGACCAGTACAGTGTTCAGGGAACTAATTTACTTCGACACTTTGCTGCTGCAACACTGCCAATCGCCAGCTGACCAACGACTCAGACTCGGTGAGCTGAGCCAAGTAATTAGTTGTGGTGGAACCGCTGCTGGAGCCGCTGACAGGTGAGAGGATGACGCTACGGTCGGCTTCAACTGAAGACAACGCCCGCCTGGACATCGGTGCCAGTGGAGTCTGGGGATCGGGCCGGGACGGCGGGAGGTCGGTACGAGCGTTCGTATTTTGATGTCCGGGTTTTCAACCCCCACGCCCCCACCAACGCCAAGTTTGCCTTGCCCGCTGTGTACAAGCGACATGGTATGAGCAGGAGAAGCGTCGCCGCTACAAGGAACGGATCACCAACATCGAGCACGCCTCCTTCTCACCAGTTGTCTTGTCCTGCACTGGAGGGTATGGCAAAGCTGCAACAGCACTCTATGCTCGGCTGGCATCGATGCTCGCCGACAAGAAGCAGGAGCCGTACTCTGCCACAATCTCCTACATCCGATGTAAGCTCAGCTTTGCCCTCATCCGTGCTGCTGTTGCCAGTCTGCGAGGCTATCGGCACCGAGTACCCTCAGATGCAAACGACTCGGCCCGATTTGCGGTTGCCGCATGAGCAGCATCGGTTAAAGCTCCCTCCCGAGGCTCCATACTAGACTGTTTTCACAGCCATTTTGCTCTCTCGACTGTTTTCACAGCCATTTTTGCTCGTTTTTCTTCCGGTGCTGTTGAGGCCGAGGTTGCACTCGTAATGATTGTGTTTATTTTGCCCGTACAAGAGGAGTTTTTGAGTGATTTTCAAAACAAAAAAAATTACACTTTGCTTACTTCGAATTCCACAAGGCTCTGTTTTAGGGCCGTTTCTATTTAAGGTGGGACACCACCTTCCAGGGGTCAAAAAATCAACTTTCGATTTGTCACCTTTTTGCTATTATTATATTGGAAATCAAAGCATATGCCCTGAGGTGTCAGTATTCCAAATTTGAAGCGATTCGGACCAACCGTTGCAGTCATATGACCGTTTGAAATTTGAAAATATTTGAAAAATTTGTACACATCGATGTTCGTACACTAAAAAGTTGAAAAAAATTGTACACATCGCGATGCTCGTGCACTAAACGAGCTGTCAAGATTGTGGCCGTGGAGTTTGGGAGTTTTGAAGCGCTTTTAGTTTACTTCCAAATTTTGTTGCCATGGCAGCAGTGACCCGTGCCACGTGCAAAAAAAGTGCAAAAAATTCTTTCCCAAAGGACTTCTTTGCTGTTGCAGTTTCGAGCGCGATGCACAATGGGGAACAAGAAGAGCAGGTCGTGCAAGCGTCCTGCAAAGAGAAGATTCTCACTGCACGCAGCACCTGTCCAGGAAGCTGCTGAGGGAGTTTATGAAGCTGAAGCAGTGCCAGAGTCCGCCTCGAAGCGCAAGTTGTACGATGGCGTTCCAAAAATAAGAATACAGTGATCATAATAAAAAATTAATGGATTCAACTGAGCGATGGTGAGTCGGATTCGGAGGAGAGCTTTGATGGATGTACGCTGGCCTCGAACTCAGACAGTTGCTCCCTCAAGTGATTCCTCGTTCTCTGAAGACTGTCATGGCCCAATCGCTGAAAGTTGTGATTCAGACGCCACTGGACTTGAATTGTTTACGAAATTTGATTTTCTCTGCTTGCTCGTGTAAAATACTGTGGAGGTGAGCTGACCATTGCTGAAACTGCACGTTCTGGCCTTGCATCCACTGTCAGAATCACATGCTGCAATGAAGAGCCAGTGTTCAGCAGGCACCAGCCTGCCAGTGGTGGAGAAGTCAGGACAGTTTTATGAGTGCAATCGCCGCAGTGTTCTGGCATTGCGCACGCTGGGAATTGGCCATGTTGGCTGGCAAATTTTTTGCGGCCTCATGAATTTGCCCCACCTGTTCAGCTATCTGCATTCCAGCGGCACCAGCGAGCATTGTGCAAGGCGGCAAGGTCAGTTGCGCAAATCAGCATGAACGAAGCAGCAGATGAACAAGACAATGGACAGGCCTAAGCATATAACTGCTGTCACCTATGATGGTACGTGAATGAAGCGCGGGTTTTCCTCCCTACACGGTGCGTTTACGGCAATTGACTGGCAAGTCGGGAAGGTCCTTGATGTGCATCTAGCTTCCAAGTACTGCCATGGCTTCAGCTTGTGGAAAGCTCGCCAGGCGCATAGTGAAGTCACAGCTGACGAGTATGAGAAGTGGAAGTCGGGCCATATCCCTCTCTGCAACCGCACCTGGCGTTTTTGCAGAACGCCAGCTCATGTTGGATAGTATTAGAGTGGCCAAGGCTGAGAAGAAGATGAAGCAGGAGGAAAAACAGCGAAGGAAACAAAGGAGGAGGTGCAGGAAGGGAATTGAGGAGCAGATTGTGGAAGCTGAGGGTGTCACATACGAGGCTGGTGGGTTTTAGTTGGAACAATAGTCTTAGAATCTATGAAAAGGACACCTAAATGTTTGTGCTTTTTGGCCTTTTTCTGCCTTCTTGGACATGATTGCGGCTAGTGTGTTTATTTTAGACCTATCAACCCATACATTTTTGGAATCAGTGACTTGTTGCGCAGGGATTGAACTACAATGGTGATCATAGGACCTTTTACATTGGATTTTGAGCTCCCACAGTGCCTTCTATTTTACGCGTTTTGCGGCTCGTCTTGTTTTGTCTCTGCATTTGGGGTAGTAATACCTGTCAGATAGAGTTCATTGTAGTTCATTCCCTGCATAGGCATATGGACTGGGTTTTGCTGCATTTTGGAACTGTCTATGTTGATACATCTTGCTGCAAAGTTGTCCAAAAAAATTGCTGTTTGTGCGCACCCGTGAAGAATTTGTGTAGCCCATCAAGCATTACTGGGATGAACTGTAAATTCTCTTTTTGGTGCCTACATTGTGGAGCAGTATATAGTGATTGAACATAGAAAATTTGAAGGCAATCTGCCAATCCGTTTTCATGATATGTCTATTTCAATTGTATGCGGTCTGATTTGGGCCGCGAATGGTGGTGTCCCCCCTTAACTTGTCCGTGAGGAAACTCCCCGCTGTGCCCAAACACTGCAAAGCCCGTCAATACGCAGATGATGTGTCTTTATACAGGGCGGGGAAGAATGTCCAGAACTTATGCAAAGACCTCACAGAGGACATCATCAAAGCAAAGGAATTCTTGGCAACGAGAGGTCTTATGTTGAACTCCTCGAAAACCCAGCTTGTTGTGTTCAGGCCAAAGTCGAAACCTCTTGACCCCGATGTCAACGTTCAGATTGAAGATGTCACCATCACCCCTAGTGCACACGTGAAATACCTCGGTATAGTTCTTGACGAACATCTCTCCTTTGGAGTTCACATTGCACAATTAGAACGTAAAATAGGCTGTAAGTTAGGAATGTTTAGAAAGGTCCGAGACCATTTAAACGATCGATGCTAAGAGGGCTTTCTACATCTGTTCCATTCAGTCCATACTTGAGTATGGGTCTAATTCCTTTGCTCACTGCCTTTCTGCCTCCCTCCATGACCGTGTTGTCCGACTTAGTAATAGAGCGCTGCGTATTGTATTTTGCATGCCCCGCCTATCTGATGTCTCCCTTGTTCTTGCCCGCTACCATATCATTCCCTTGTCTGTCACGTACCAATTCAAGCTGTACGTTCTAACGTACCGTGCGCTTCATGATCTGGCTAGTGTCTTTGTTGCTAACTGTTTCTGTCTCCGCTCTAATTCTACCTGCACTAGTTCTCGCACCCGCTCTCAAGTGTCCTCTTCCCTTGCTCTTCCGACAGCCAAACGTCGCTATGGTTTATTTTCTGTCACTTTCCTTGGCTCTGACCGCTGGAATGCCCTCCCAGCGGAGGTCCGCTCAAGTTCTTCCTTGCATACCTTCCGTAATTCTGTTCTTCATTTTTTAGGGTACCCTGTCAAAAGGCCTTAGGCCTGTGGGGATTGCCCTATCAAAAATTTAATAATAATAATAATAATAATAATTATCAGCACAAATCCCACACATTTTCTATGTAAGTGGAATCCGTGGAACTTCGAATTAACCGGACATGTCCGGTTCGAGGTTCGAATTATCAGAAAAGTTTATGTGGGAATCGTATTGACAGAAATCGGTCTTGGAAAAACTTCTAATTAAGCGGTATGTTCGAATTAAGCCATATTCGAATTACAGTCGTCCCTCTCTAATCCGGCACTTTATAATCCAGCACCCTCGATAAACCAGCACAATTTTCAGTAGCCAAAATGTCCTCTTCATGCACATTGCAGCAGTAAATCAGATTTGTTAATCCAGCACCCTCCCTAATCCAGCAGATTTTCGTGGCACAAATGGTGCCGGATTATAGAGGGACCACTGTATCAGGATTCCACCTGTACAAACCAGGGAGTCGTAAAATATGGTATTTTATGACTCCCTGGTACAAACGGATTACTGCACGAATTTTGATTGTGCTCACTTCCGTTAATCGTTTCGTTTTTCTTTGTACTTTTCCACTCA